TCCCGCCCCGCGGCCGGGGGGGCCCCCCGCCCCTCCGGGGGGGCCCCCTCGCCTTCTAGACCCTCCCCCGCGCCTTCCCTCTCCGACCCGCCGCCCCCTCCCGCCCCCGGGGGGCCCCCGTGGCTGCTGGCGTGGCGGGCCCTGGCGAGGAGCTCGTGGAGGGGGACTTGGAAGTATTTGAAGTTTTTGGGTTCGAAGTGGAGAGTGGGGGGCCAGGGTACCACGTGGGTACTGACGGGCTTGTTGGGGGTGCGGCTTTCGAGGTACCCGGGGGCCCCCCAGAGGCCCACGCAGGGGCCCACGGGGGCCCCCCGCAGCACGCAGGGGGCCCCCCGGGGCACCACTTCTTCCAGGAAGGCCTTCGCGCTGCTGCAGTGCACCACAGGCACTTCCTCCGGAGGCACAGGCAGCAGGGGGGCCCCCCGGGGGGCCCCCCGGGGGGGCTGGCCTGGGGGCCCCCGGGGGCAGGGGGGGCCCCCAGGTCAGGGGGGCCCCCTGGGGCAGGGGCACAGGGGGCCCCTGCTGCTGGGGAACTGGGACACGGTGGAGGCATTGTGGCTAGCTGCAGCTAGCTATGGCTAGCCACAGCTAGCTGCAGCTAGCCACAGCTAGCTAGCCAGAGAGCCGCAGATAGCTGCAGCTAGCTGCAGCTAAGAAGAGCAGCAGCAGCAGCAGCAGCAGCTGCAGCACGGGGCGCTGAGCTGCTGCTGTGGGGCCCCTCAGGGCGTCTTGGGAGTTGAAAAAGAAAGAAAATAATTTAATTTAATTTAATTTAAAAATTAAAATTAATTTTTAATTTTAATTTAATTGAAAAAGACAAAAAGGCGGAAAGTCGATGCCCCAGCTGCGCCCGACTCCCCAGCCCGATCGAGGCCCCAAACCCTAAACCCTAATTTCAAACCCTAAACCCTAAACCCTAGTTTCAAACCCTAAACCCTAAACCCTAATAGCTAAAACCTGAAATACGAACCCTAAGAGACATATGTTCTTCGTCCAAACTCGATGGGTGAGGGGAAGGGGAGTCTTCGTGTTCAGATTTAGGGTTTAGGGTTTAGGGTTTAGGGTTTGGGTTCCACGGTTTAGGGTTTAGGGTTTAGGGTTTAGAGTTTGTTGGTCTTTAACGGCGTTTTTACTCCATTTCAACGGAATTTCAGTGCTCAGGGTGTGTCTTGGGGCTTTCGGGCTTTGGGTCTAGGGTTTAGGTCTAGGGTTTAGGGTTTAGGGTTTAGGGTTTAGCGCTTAGGGTTTAGGGTTTGATTCTAGGCGGGTGCTTGCGTCGTATATGCGCTTGCATAAGGCTTTCGCGCCTAAACCCTAAACCCTAAACCCTAAACCCTAAACCCTAAACCCTGGAGGCTTTGGGAGGCTACAAACGGCAGAAGATATGCAAACGGCGAAAAGAGCATTTAGGGTTTAAAGGCTCAGGGTTTAGGGTTTAGGGTTTAGGGTTTAGGGTTTGCAGAAGGACGCTTGCATGCCTTTTATCAAACGTACTTTGGGGCTGCTGCCTCTTTTGTTCTTTGCAACTGAAGCTCCAAGCCTTAGCGCTGAAGCCCTAAACCCCAAACCCTAAACCCCAAACCCTAAACCCCAAGCCCTAAACCCCAAACCCTAAACCCTAAACCCTAGCCCTAAACCCTAGGAACAACGCAATGGCGTGCGCCGCCTCCGTGGCTAGCTGCAGCTAGCCTCGGCTGGCTGCAGCTAGCTACAGCTAGCTGCAGCTAGCTGCAGCCTGCTGTAGCTAGCTGTAGAAAGCTGTAGCTAGCTGTGGCTAGCTGTGGCTAGCTGTGGCTAGCTGTGGCTAGCTGTAGCTAGCTGTAGCTAGCTGTAGCTAGCTGTGGCTAGCTGTGGCTAGCTGTGTGGGCACAGAGGCCTTTTGTTGATATTTGTGCACAGCCAAGGCCTGTCCCGAGGCTACTGGGACTGTGGGACCAGGGAGTAGGGTTTAGGGTTTAGGGTTTAGGGTTTAGGGTTTTTGGCATAGGGTTTGGTCTGGAGGGTTTAGGGTTTGGGGAAAAGAGGCTAGGGTTTACTGGGGCTGAGGGTTTGGGGGGGCGGCCAGAATGGCGCGTGCAAGGGCTCTGTCTTTGCGTGGAATATGTCTACTTGTTTCGAGGGTTTAGGGTTTAGGGTTTAGGGTTTAGGGTTTGGGGTTTAAGGTTTTCCCCTCTTTGTTGCCTCGGCCTGCTGAGACGGCGGCGGCGGAGTGTCTAGCTGGGGTGGGTTGTTGGGGCCCTGAGGGTTTAGGGTTTTGGACGCGGAGGCCAGGGTTGGGGGTTTAGGGTTTGGAAAGTGGGGTTTAGGGTTTAGGGTTTAGGGTTTAGGGTTTGGGCGGGGTTTGGTGCTGAACTCGCTGGGGAGCGACAGAGGTCGTGGCTGGGGCGGCCGCTGCAGCCGCGCAGAGTTAGAAGACGAGGAAATTAATTTGAATTTGAAAATAAAAAAAAGAAAGAAAAGAGAAGACAATTCGTTTTAAGCGGACGGAGCTAGGGTTTAGGGTTTAGGGTTTAGGGTTTAGGGTTTGGGGTTGCGGCGCACGAGCGGTTCGGTCTGCGTGGCTGCGGCGGCAGCCGAGATCAGCGGCGTTTCAAGGCCTTTAATTAAAAAAGATTAATTATTTTAAAAGAACTTTTTGTTTTTAATTTAATTAATTCAAATAAGTGACGCATTTGGAACTCCGAAGCTGCATTTCAGCGCCGCTGAGTCACTTCGCTCGCCCGCGCCTCGCTGCCTTTTCAGGTGTACGTACACCGCAGCGCCTCTCCCGCAACTCTTCTTCTTCCTTTCTTCGGCTGTATCGACACCAAATAAATAATTAAAAAAGAGACGGACAAGAAGGTCACTTGCTGCACCAAAAGTTCGGCTGCGAGCGCCGAGGGTTTAGGGTTTGGCCAGGGCTGGAGCGCCAAAGGCGCGGTTTCGGGCGAGGGTTTAGGGTTTAGGGTTTAGGGTTTGCCCCCGCCGCTCCCGCTCCCTCCAGGCCCCCGCTGCGCTCTTCGCTTTCCCCCCCCCGCCCCCCATGCTGCTGCTGCGTCTCCTGCTGCTGCTGTCCGCAGCAGCTGCTGCTGCGCCCCCAGCAGCAGCAGCAGCAGCTCTAGCAGCAGCAGCAGCAGCAGCAGCAGAAACGGGGCTCCACCCCGCAGCAGAACCCACTGCAGCCCCACAAACTGACCTCACTTACCCGGGGGCCCCCGGGGGGCCCCCCGGCTTCTGGTCTTTGTCCCAAGACTCTGTGCATGCAGAGGGGGGCCCCCTGGAGGCCCTGGGGGGCCCCTACGTGTACCCTCCACCCGCTGCTGCTGCTGCAGCAGCAGAAGTCCCGCCTTTTGCTGCAGCAGAGGGGGCCCCCGGGGGCCCCATGATGGTGCACTTGGGGGGCCCCCTGGGCACCTCCCTGCGGCGCCCCTTGGGGGGCCCCCAGGGGGGCCCCCAGGGGGGCCCCCCTGAGTCTTCTTCTAATGGGCTTTCCCCCTCTGCTGCAGCAAAAAGGGGGCCCCTGGAGTCCCCAGTGGGGGGCCCCCAGGGGGGCCCCCCGCAGCAAACAGAAGAAGAAGAAAGAGACCCTCGAGAGCTTTTAAATGTACTATTTTTGTCTCCAGATTCTCTGGAAGTGAAGGAGGTGCAGCAGCAGCAGCAGCAGCAGCAGCAGCGGCAGCAGCGGCAGCAGCGGAGAGCAGCAGCAGTCAAGCTGCTGCTGCTGCTGCTGCTGCTGGCTCTTGCTGCTGCTGCGCTGCAGCGCCTCCGCAAAGGCTTCGCCTTCAGCCCCGCAGCTCTGCAGAGATTCTTCGCAGAAGCTGCAGCAGCAAAATATAAATCAGCAGCAGCAGCAGCAGCAGCAGCAGCAGCAGCAGCAGAAGCAGAAACAAAAGACCGAGCAGCAGCACTGGATGCGGACATGGACTCCGGCTTTGAAGACGAGAGCTGAAAACAGAAAACTATAATTAATTAATTAATTAATTAATTAATTAATTAATTAATTAATTAATTAATTAATTATATTCAACAAAAGAAACAATTAACGAGTTTTAAGAATAACACAAATTGGGCCTATCACAGAACAGCCCCAGGGGGCCCCCAGGGGCCCCCGGGGGGCCCCCAGGGGCCCCTCGGGGGCCCCCACCCCCAGCGTTGCTGCAGCAACACACACAGCAGCAGCGCAGCAGCAGCGCAGCAGCAGCGCAGCAGCAGCACGGGGGCCCCCAGGGGGCCCCAGGGGGCCCCACAACCTGGGGGCCCCCGGGGGGCCCCAAAGACTAAGCGCCTCTGGGGCCCCCCAAGGACTGGGTACCTCAGGGGCCCCCAAAGCCGGGGGCCCCTCTTGGCGGAGCGGCTGTGGGGCCCCCTTGGTCCCTTGGGGGCCCCCCTGCTGCTGCTGCGCTGCTGCTGCGCTGCTGCTGCGCTGCTGCTGCTCTCCCTGGGGTTTTAAAGGCTTTTACAGCTTCAGAAGTTCTCAACATTCGCAGCTAATCTTTGGGGGCCCCTTCCTTGGGGGCCCTTTGTGAGGCCCCGGGGGGCCCCCCACTTGTGCCCTTTTTGGGGCCCCTGGGGGCCCCCCACTTGCGCGCGGCAGGGGCTTCAAGTGGGTCTCTGTGGGGCCCCCGGGGGGCCCCTGGGGGCCCCCGGGGGCCCCCAAAGAGGCCCAGAGGTGCAGCTAAAGGCACTTGTCGAGGGTACTACTATGGGGGCCCAATATGTTCCATTTGGGGGCCCCCAAAAAGGCACTTGTACTATCTCATGAGAGCCGCCCGAGGGGGCCCCCGATGTGCCTCTGGAGACCCTTCCGGGGCCCCCGGGGGCCCCTGGGGGCCCCTGGAGGCCCCTGGGGGCCCCCGGGGGCCCCCTGGGGACCCCTGAAGGGCCCCCGAGGGCCCCCTGGGGGCCCCTAGGGGCCCCCGAGGGCCCCCTGGGGGCCCCTAGGGGCCCCCTGGGGGCCCCTTGGGGCCCCTATTTGAGGGGCCTCGGAAGGCTTTTTGGGAGCTTTTGTTATCGGTTTTAAATGTGGCCAGTCGCTTTATTTTTATCATTTGGGAGAAAGCGGCGAAATTGTCTTTGGCGGCGGCCTGGGGGCACAGCTAGGGTTTAGGGTTTAGGGTTTAGGGTTTAGGGTTTGGGGTTTGGGGCGGTGTGGCTGCGAGCAGCAGCTGCTGCTGCTCCTGGGGCACTTGTTTGCAGCCACAAGTCCCTTTAAATAAACCCTAAACCCTTTTTGTCTGTACTCAAAGAACTGCACTCCGCTTTGCTGTTCACTAGGGTTTAGGGTTTAGGGTTTAGGGTTTAGGGTTTAGCTGCTTCTGCCGCAGGAAGAGGCGGGAAAGTCGCTGCAAACAAATGGATAATAGGCAAATAAGAATAACTAAATAAATAAAATACAAATAAACAAATAAATATAAATAATAAATAAATAAATAAATAAATAATAAATAAATAAAAACAAATGAATAAATGATAAAGAGATAAACAACCCTCCAACCAGTCCTAAACAAAAAACAGAAACTTGCGGGTTCTCCGCATGCAGCTTCTGCTGCTGCTGCTGCGCAGCAGGCCAGAGCTGCTGCTGCTGCTGCTGCTGCTGCTGCAGCAGCAGCAAAGCAGCCACTAAAGCCCTTTTGCTGTTGTGGGCCCAAATACATACAGAGCAACAGGGGCCCCCCGGCCCCACCCTGGGGGCCCCGGGGGCCCCCCTTTGCTGCGCTCTCTTAGTCCCTGCTGTGCAAGCTCCCCACCAGCTAGCTGTAGCTAGCCGCAGCTAGCTGCAGCTAGCTGTGGCTAGCTGTGGATAGCTGTGGCTAGCTGTGGCTAGCTACAGCTTGCTGCTGATAGCTGCAGCTGTACAGCTAGCCACAGCTAGCTTCAGCTAGCCACAGCTAGCTTCAGCTAGCCACAGCTAGCTTCAGCTAGCCACAGCTAGCTGAGGCTAGCTGCAGCTCGCCACAGCTAGCCACAGCCAGCTGAGGCTAGCTGCAGCTCGCCACAGCTAGCCACAGCTAGCCTCAGTTAGCTGCAGCTCGCGTCAGCTAGCCACAGCTAGCCTCAGCTAGCTGCAGCTAGCTGAGGCTAGCTGCAGCTGTCCACAGCTAGCCTCAGCTAGCCACAGCTAGCTGCAGCTAGCCACAGCTAGCTACAGCTAGCTACAGCTAACTGGGCCAAAGGAGGGAGAGGGGAGAGCTCAAAAACAAAAAAAGAACTCAGGAGCAAAAGCCCCATGAGCTGCTGCATGCGGCATGAAGCCGCGCGCAGTCTAATAACTGCTGCATTTCGCTGCTGCTGCTGCTGCTGCTGCTGCTGCTGCTGCTGCTGCTTTTGCTGGCAGCAGCGACTGCAGCCAGTGGACAAATATTAAAACAAGTCTAACTACCTGCACGCTGTGGAACTAGCGATGAACCAATTGCTGCAGGAGTGTTGCTGCTGCTGCTGCTGCAGCAGCAACTCCTCCACCAAAACCTTGACTAACACGTGGCTTTTGGAGCAGCAGCAGCAGCAGCAGCAGCAGCAGAACGCAGCTGCTGCAGCAGCAAACCCCGCAGGGACGACAGCAGCTTTTGGTGCTGCGCCTCCCCATCACAGCAGCGCCGTCTTTGCTGCTGCTTTTGCTGCTGCTCCTGCTGCCGCTTTTGCTGCTGCTGCTGCTGCTGCTCTCTCTGCCAAACTTCCACCAAGGCCAGAGACACGCACAGGACTCGGCGAGATTCCTGCTGCTGCTGCTGCTGCTGCTGCTGCTGCAGGCGCGTGTCAGTTTGCTGCTGCATATGAAGAACCTGCTGCAAAATGCAAGCCAGCAGCACCCTCAGTCGCAGCAGCGGAGCTTCTGCTGCTGCTGCTGCTGCTGCTGCTGCTGCTGCTGCGTGCTTCGCCGTGAAGGCAGCCTGGAGAGAGGCAGCATGTTTTAGTAAAGGCTGCCACAGCACCACCAGTAAGTCCACGGGAGCAGCAGCATGAGCAGCAGCAGCAGCAGCAGCAGCAGCAGCAGCAGATCCCTCTTGCTGCAGCAGCTGCAGCCGCTGCAGCAGAGCACGCACTTTGACTGCGCCCTTCAGAGACGCCCAGGCGTAGCAGCAGCAGCTGCTGCTGTCATTCGAATCTGCTGCTGCAGCAAGACAGTTCCCCAGAAGCAGCAGCAGCTGGTCTCGTACACGCTCTGCTGCTGCTATTGATGCTGCTGCTGCTGCTGCTGGCGCTGCTGCTGCTGTTGCTGCTGCTGCTTTTGCTGAAATCCCAGTATCACGCCGCCGCCGCTTGAGTCTTGCTGCACCCTCTGCGTCGGCCTGCTGCTGCTGCTGCTGCTGCTGCAGCTCTTGATGCCGCTGCTTCCGCGGTGGAGGGCGCTGCAGCAACGGCTGCTGCTGCTGCTGCTGTTGCTGCTGCTGCTGTTGCTGCTGCTGCTCGTACGCAGTTCCCTGCTGCTGCTGCTGCACAGTCATCTGTCTGTGCGTCTGCCTCTGATTCTGCTGCTTCTGCTGCTGCATCTGACGCAGCGGAGCCTTTGCTGCAGTAGGGGCTTGCTGGCACTGCTGCTGCTGCTGTTGCTGTTGCTGCTGCTGCTGCTGCTGCTGCTTTTGCAGCTGCAGCGGCAGCAGCACCTCACCCTCCTCAAGCTGCTGCTGCTGTCCCTGCCGCAGTGGCGGCAGCAGCTCGTCCCCAACCTTTTGCTGCAGTCGTGCAGCTTGCTGCTGCTGTTGCTGCTCCTGTTGCAGTGGCAGCAGCAGCTCGTCCTCGAGCTGCTGCTGCGATAGTTCTTCCTGCTGCTGCTGCACCTGCTGCTGCTGCACCTGCTGCTGCTGCGACACACGCGGCTTACGCGCGCGTTGCTTCTGCTGCTGCTGCTGCTGCTGCTGCTGAGGCCCTTGCTGGCGCCGCTTACGCTGCTGCTGCAGCACTTTACCTTGCTGCTGCAGCATCTTGTCTTCCTGCTGCAGCACTTTGTCCTTCTGCTGCAGCGCCTTTTCGTGCCGCTGCAGCACCTCGTGCTGCTGCTGCTGCAACAAGTCCTGCTGCTGCTGCTGCTGCCGCTCCTGCTGCAAAGGAAGCAAAAACTCATCCTCAAGCTGCTGCTGCAGTTGTTCATCTAGTTGCTGCTCTGGCTGCTGCTGCTCAGCTTGCTGCTCCTGCTGCAGTGGCAACAGAAACTCGTCTTCAAGCTGCTGCTGCAGCTGCCCCTGCTGCTGCTGCTGCTGCTGCGGCTGCTGCCGCTCGTGTTGCAGTGAGAGCTGCTGCCTGACCTGAAGCTCCTGTTGCTGCTGCGCACTCTGCTGCTGCTGCTGCTGCTGCTGCTGCTGCTGCTCGGCTTGCTGCTGCTGCTGTCCCTGAGGCTGCCCCCGTTGCTGCTCCTGCTGCAGCTGCCGCTCTTCCTGCTGCTGCTGGTCTTGCTGCTGCTGCGGCTGCTCTTGCTGCAGCCCGAGCAGCAGCTCGTCCTCCAGCTGCTGCAGGTCTTTCTCTTGCTGCTTCTGCTGCTGAGCAGCAGATTGCTGCTGCTCTTCTTGCTGCTGTTCTTTCTCCAAAGACAGGGGGAGCTCTTTCCGAAGCTTCTGCTGCTGCCGCTCTTGCTGCTGCTGCTGCTGCTGCTTCTGTTGCCGCTGCAGCTGCTGCTGCTCTTGTGGCTGCCGCCGTTGCTGCTGCTGCTGCTGCTGCTTCGGTTCTCCCTTCAGAGAACGAATGAGTTGCTGCTCTTGCTGCTTCTGGTGCTGCTCTTGCTGCTGCTGGTGCTGCTGCAGTTGCTGCTGCTGCTGCTGCTGCCGACAATGCTGCAGTTGCTGCTTGTGACGTCGCTCTTGCTGCTGCTGTTGCTGCTGCTGCTGCTCTTGCTCAAGCGGCAGCACCAACGCATCCTCCAGCTGCTGCTGCAGTTGCTGCGCTTGCTGCTGCTGCTGCTCAACGTCCTGCTGCTGCTGCTGTTCCGGTTGCTGCTGCTGCTGCTGCTGTGTAACTTCTTGCTGCTGTTGCTCTTGCTGCAGCGGAAGCAGCAGCTCGTTCTCCAGCTGCTGCAGGTTTGCTTCCTGCTGCTGCTGCTGCTGCTGCTCAGGCGGCTGCTGCCCAGGTTGCTCTTGCTGCAGAGGGCCCAGCAGCTCATCCTCCATCTGCTGCTGCAGCTCTTCCTCCTTTTGCTGCAACCGCTCCTGCTGCTGCTGCTCTTGCTGCTGCTCCTGCTGCTGCTGCTCTTGCTGCTGCTCCTGCTGCTGCTGCTCTTGCTGCAGCTCTTGCTGCTGCTGCTCTTGCTGCAGCTCTTGCTGCTGCTCTTGCTGCGGTGGACAAAGCAATTCTTCCTCCAGCAGCTGCTGCCCATGCTGCTGCTGCTGCTGCTGCTGCTGCTGCTGCTGCTGCTGCTGCTCCTGCTCCTCCTGCTGCAGTGGGGCCAGCAAGTCCTCCTCCAGCTGCTGCTGGAGTGCTTCTTCTTGCTGCAGCAGCTTGGGCTCCTCTTGCTGCTCCTGCTGTTCTTGTTGCTGCTGCTGCTGCTGCTGCTGCTCTTGTTCCTCCTGCTGCAGTGGGGCCAACATCTCCTCCTCCAGCTGCTGCTGTTCTTGCTGCTGCTCCTGCTGTAGTGAAGCCAGCAGCTCATCTTCCAGTTGCTGCTGAAGTTCTTCTTGCTGCTGCTGCTGCTGCTGCTGCTGCTGCTGTTGCTGCTGCAGCTCTTGCTGAGGCACTTTAGGCTCCTGCTGCTGCTCTTGCTGGTCCTGCTGCTGCAGTTGCTGCTCTTGCTGCAGAGGAGACAGAAGCTCATCCTCCAGCTGCTGCTGCTGCTCTTGCTGCTGCTGCTGCTGCGGCTCTTGTTGCAGTGAGGCTAACAGCTCATCCTCTAGCTGCTGCTGAATTTGTTCCTCTTGCTGCAGCGGCTCAGGCTTCTGCTGCTGCTGCTGCTGCTGCTGCTGCTGCTGCTGCTGCTGCTGCTCTGGCTGATGCTGTTCTTGCTGCAGTGAAGCCACATTCTCCAGCTGCAGATGCTGGTGCAGTTGCTTCTGCTTCTGCTGCTTCTGCTGCTGCTCCCACTGCTGTTCCTGCTGCTGCTGCTGCTGCTGCTGCTGCAGCAATCCATCTTCTCGCTGCTGCTGTTGTTTAAGTTGCTGCTGCTGTTGGACTTGCTGCTGCTGCTGATGGCGTGTAAGAGGCTCCTGCTCTTCTTCCTGCTGCAGCAGCAGCACCGATTTGTCCCCCTCTACCTGCTGCTGGTGCTGCTGCTGCTTCTCCTGCTGCTGCTCCAACGGCCTCTGTCGCTGCTCCTCCTGCTGCTGCTGCTCGAGTTTGTGCTGCTGCTGCTGCTGCTGCTGCTGCTGCTGCTGCTGATTAAATTTGAAGCCGGCTGCCCCAAAAATTTCCTCGTCAAGACTCTCTATGGGCATACTGGAGGACTCCGGCTCCTCTTCATCTTCTGCTGCTGCTGCAGTGCTGCTGCTGCTGCTGCTGCTGCTGCTGCTGCTGCTGCGGCATGTGTATGGCAGCAGCGGATCATCAACGCAGCTAAGCTCGGCAACTCTAGGCGCCCTCTCTACAGCGTCAGCAGCAGCAGATCTTCGCTGCTGCTGCTGCTGCTGCTGCTGCTGCTGCTGCTGCGCTGCAGTGAGCTCTCGGATATGTCTGGCGTCAGCAGCAGCAAGCCGCTTGAGTCTCTTGACATCTTCTTTCTCCCGCTGCAGCAGCAGCAGCGTGTTGGCGAGCAGCTGCTGCTGCTCCTCTTCTGCTGCTGCTGCTTGCTGCAGTTCTTCTTTGAGGAGCTGCTGCTGCTTCTTGGCCATGAGCAGCAAGTGCTCGCGCTGCTGCGCCTCCTCGGCCGCCTGCTGCAGCTGCTGCTGCAGCAGCTCAATCTGCTGCTGCTGCTGCAGCAGCTGCTGCTCCTGCTGCACCAAAGCTTCTTGCTTCGTCTCCAGAGCAGCAGCAAGACGCTGGTTTGCTTCTCCCCAAGACTCATAGCCCTGCAGCTGCAGCTGCAGCAGCTGCTGCCGCAGCGCGTCGCAGCTTTTGCACGTGCTGCTGCTGCTGCTGCTGCTGCTGCTGCTGCTGCTGCTGCTGCCCTTGTCGCTGCTGCAGGTGCTGCTGCTGCTGCTGCTGCGCACCTCACATGAGCTGCCGACAGCAGCAAAAAGACTAGAGCGTGGGGGCCCCTCAGGGGTACCCCCGGGGGGCCCCCCAGGGGGCCCCTCGGGGGGCCCCTCGGGGGGCCCCTCAGGGGGCCCCTCGGGGGGCCCCTGAGCTGCAGCAAAATGTGAGGTATGGGGGGCCCCCCTAGGGGCCCCCCCCTCCATTTCGAATTCTCCAAAAGGGTTCAAATCCAGAAAGGGGGCCCCCTCAAGGGGCCCCTGCTCAGGGTGTTTGCTGCTTCGCTCCTGCTGCTGCTGCAGCGCAGCAGCAGGGCCCCCAGGGGGGCCCCCAGGAGGGGCCCCAGGGGGGCCCCCAGGGGGGCCCCCAGGGGGGCCCCCCAAAGTCTCGTATGGGGACTCTTCCACCTCAAGGTAAGAGCAGAGGCTGTCTTCGAGCTCCTGCAGCAAATCTTCATCAGCAGCAGCAGTTGCTGCAGCAGCAGTTGCTGCAGCAGCAGCTGCTGCAGCAGCAGGTGCTGCAGCAGCAGCAGCATCTTTCTTTTGGCCCTGCCTGCTGCTTGGGGGGCCCCCCTGGCTGCCCTTACCCGTCTCTGCGGCCCACCGGTGGGGCCCCTGAGGGGCCCCCTCAGCGTGCTGCTGCTGCTGCTGCTGCTGCTGCTGCTGCAGCTGCTGCAGCTGTTGCTGCTCCTGTAGGTTCTTTGGCGGTCGGCCCCGGCGTCTCTTGGGCGGGGGCCCTTCAAGCTGCTGCTGCTGCTGCTGCTGCTGCTGCTGCTGCTGCTGCTGCGCCCTGCGGCCTCGCCTGCTGCTGCCCGTCGGTGCCGCGTCAGCAGCGCCTAGCTGCGGAAAGGCAGCTGCTGCTGCAGTTGGGCCTGCAGCAGCAGCAGCAGCAGCAGCAGCAGCAGGGTAAGCAGCAGGGGCGTAAAGATCCTTTTGCTGCTGCCTTTGCTGCTGCTGCTGCTGGTGCTGCTGTTGCTTCTGCTGCTGCTTTCCGGAAGAGCCTTCACCAGCTGCTGCTGCTGCTGCTGCTGCTGCTGCTGCTGGGGGCCCCTCCCCAGCAGCAACCTGGGATATGAATGTAAGCATCTGGTCCCAGCAAAGGGCCCCCATGGGCCCCTTCCCCCCTGCTGCTGCTGCTGCTGCTGCTGCTGCTGCTGCTGCTGCTTTGGGGGGCCCCTCCAGGGGCCCCTCCAGGGGCCCCCTGGGCCCCAGCGAACCCTCAGAAAGCACAGGGAGCTCAGAGGGGCCCCCAGGGGCCCCCCGGTGTACTAAAGCAGGGCACATTACTCACGAGTGCTGCTGCTGCATCTGCTGCAACTGCTGCTGCAGCAGCAGCTGCTGCTGCTGGTGCTGCTGCTGCTGCTGCTCTTGCTGCTGCTGCTGCCTTACGGGTAGAAGCAAAGTTGCTCTGGAGGGGCCTGCGGGCCCTCCCCATCATTCCTGAGGAGCGTCTGCTGCTGCTGCTGTTGCTGCTGCTGTTGCTGTTGCTGCTGCTGCTGCTGCTGCTGCTGCTGCTCCCGTAGCCGCTGCTGCGTCTCGCCGCCCTTAGTGCTGCAGCTACGCCGCTGCTCGTAATGCCGGGCTAGTGGCCTTGCTGCTGCAGTAGCAGCAGCAGCAACAGCAACAGCAACAGCAGCAGCAGCAGCAGCAGCAGCAGCAGCAGCAGCAGGGGGGCCGGTCTACCCGAGCCTCGTCACCCCCGGCCGAGGGTTTAGGGTTTGTTCTTTTAACTGCAGCAACTCATATGGATGACTAAAAAAGATTACGAAAGAGGCCCCAGACCCGAGGGTTTAGGGTCTAGGGTTTAGGGTTTAGGGTTTAGGGTTTAGGGTTTAGGGCGAAGGGTTTAGGTTCTGGCAGGTGGGGAGGAACTACGGAGCCATCTTCTCTGCCCTTTCGTTTCTCCGCACTCTTCACAGTTGAGAAGTTTTATTTAGGGTTTAGGGTTTAGGGTTTAGGGTTTAGGGTTTAGGGTTTAGGATTTGGCTGAACGCCATAGCCGCTGACCCAGACAGCCCCAACTCCCCTGGCGCATGCTGTCAAGCATTAAGCATTAGGGTTTAGGGTTTAGGGTTTAGGGTTTAGAGATTAGGGTTTGTAGAGACTTTCGATGTTTTGCGGGGGACAAATTCGCAAAAAAGCAATTAGGGTTTAGGGTCTGCCCCTTGTTTGAAGAAGCAGCAGCTGCAGCAGCAGCTGCAGCAGCAGCTGCAGCAGTTAACAGCAGCAGCTTGAGCAGCAGCTGCAGCAGTCACAGCAGCAGCTTAAGCAGCAGCTGCAGCAGTGACAGCAGCAGCTGCTGCAGCAACAGCAACAGAAGCAGCAGCAGCCACGTCACGAGCAACAGCAGCAACAGCAGCAGCGGCAACAGCAGCAGCAGCAGCAGCAGCAGCACCAGTAGCAGCAGCAACAGTAGCACCGGCAAAAGTCGCAGCAACAACAGTAGGAGCAGCAGGAGCAGCAGCAACAACAGCAGCAACAGCAGCAGCAGCAGCAGCAGCAGTGGTCTTGATGAGGCTCTCCTGCCCCCTTCTGGACCGCTGGAAGTCCAGCTGGACGTACAAGTCCGCCCAAACCCTAAACCCTAAACCCTAAACCCTAAACCCTAAACCCTTGGTAGCAGCAGCGTGGCCCCCAAACCGGGGGCTCCGTCCGCGAAGGCCGCAAGCCGCAACCCTTTGCTGCTGCTGCTGCTGCTGCTGCTGCTGCTGCTGCTGCTGCTGCTGCTGCTCCCCTCACCCCAAAGGGCTCCACGGCTGAGGACCCACGGCCTAGGGTTTAGGGTTTAGGGTTTAGGGTTTAGGGTTTGTGCTGCAGGCTGCAGAAGTACCGCGGGGGCCCCCGCTGGAGCCTCCCCCGCTTTATGGTCCAGGGGCCCTTTAGGGGCCCCAAGTTTAGGAGGCCCCCCACTCTAACAAAGTGGGGCCTCCCGCAGCAAACTCGCCCCAGCAGCAGCAGCAGCAGCAGCAGCAGCAGCAGCAGCAGCAGCAGCAGCAGCAGCCGCAGCAGCAGCAGCAGCAGCAGCAGCAGCAGCAAGTTCTGCGATATGCTCAAGCTGCATGAAGTCAGCGGCAAATTCAAAGCCGTCAGCAGCTCACACTTCAACAGGGCGGGACTCGGGCCCGCGCCCTAAACCCTAAACCCTAAACCCTCAGGGTTTAGGGTTTAGGGTTTGCGGGGCCTTGGGGTTAACCCTAAACCCTAAACCCTAGACCTCTTTATCATTTTTGCGTCTTCTTTAACTACAGAACCTCCTAGCTGCTGCGCTCCAGTACCCCCCACTGCCCCACCCAACCCTAAACCCTAAACCCTAAACCCTAAACCCTAATTTGTCGCCTCAGCCCCAAAACAGCGTCTAATACTTCAGAGTCTCTGGCGCCATAACGAGAGCGGTGAGGGGGCCCCAAGGGGCCCCCGACCCGTTGGGCTGGGGCCCCTGGGGGCCCCTGGGGGCCCCCTGGGGGCCCCCGGGGGCCCCCGGGGGCCCCCCGGGTCCTGGGGTCACCTGGGGGCCCTTTGGGCCCCCCGAAAACCCCTAAGCGAAAACCCCTGAGGGCCTGGGGCCCCTGGGGGCCCCCAAAACCGCAAAAGCCAAACTACTTCTGCCTTGGCACCAAAGATGATGTGCAACGGGGGCCCCGGGGGCCCCTGGGGGCCCCCGGGGGGCCCCCAGGGGCCCCCGGGGGCCCCCAGGGGGCCCCCGGGGGGCCCCCCGCGACCCCGCCGCACGCACAACCACCACCACAATTTCGCCACCGTCCCTACTGGGGGCCCCCCAAGGGGCCCCCTGAGACCCACACCCAAGGGGGCCCAAGGGGCCCCTGGGGGGCCCCCGGGGGGCCCCCGGGGGCCCCCGGGGGCCCTCTACCCTCGGGGACCACAGCAGTACCTGTACTGCAGAAAGGGCCTCACGCCTTCGCGCTCGGACAGCCCCTGGGGGCCCCCAATGATCCCCTGGGGGCCCCCTGGGGGCCCCTGGGGGCCCCGTAGACCCCCAGGGGCCCCGTAGACCCCCGGGGGCCCCTGGAGGCCCCCAAGAAGCTCCTGGGGGCCCCCTGGGCCCCTGCGGGCCCCCGAGCGGCCTGGGGGGCCCCCGGGCTAGAGAGGGGCCCGCAGGGCCCCCAGGGGCCCCGGAGGGGCCCCGGAGGGGCCCCCAGGGGCCCCCAGGGGCCCCCGGGGGCCCCCCGGGGGCGGAGGGGGGCCCCCCGGGGGCCCCCTTCTGACAAAAAGGGCCTGAAATCTACTGTGCATATTTCTGAGACCACTCGCGGGCTGTTTGGTCATAACGGGCCCTGTCAGTTTTGTAAATGTGGGCGATTTCGGGGACCAGGGGGTCGTCTGCAGCAGCAAACCCTAAACCCTAAACCCTAAACCCTAAACCCTAAACCCTAAACCCTAGGTCCCGCGCTGGGGAGTCAGCCTCCCTCGGGGAGGCAGCAGCAGCAGCTCCGCCGCAGCCGCGGAACCGCGGGCGGCCGCGCAGCCGCAGGCCAAACCCCAAACCCCAAACCCCAAACCCTAAACCCTAAACCCTAAACCCTAAACCCTCGTACCGGGGTTGGGGTCTGTGAGCAGCGACGAAATGGACAGCAGCACTTTGCTAATGGTCAACGCAGGTGACCATTGGTCCTTGAGGATGTCGAGGCAAATGGCCCCTTGGCCGTTGATGTTGGGGTGGTAGATTTTGGTGGTGAAGTTCACCTGCGCAAACCCTAAACCCTAAACCCTAAACCCTAAACCCTCGCCGCAGCCGCGCCCCGCAAACCCCGGGCCCGGGCAGAGCATCAAAAACGCGCGACTAGGGTTTGGCTCTGGCGACTACGGCTTCCCAGCTAGGGTTTAGGGTTTGCCAGCTAGGATTTAGGGTTTGCCAGCTAGGGTTTAGGGTTTGCCAGCTAGGGTTTAGGGTTTGCCAGCTAGGGTTTAGGGTTTGCCAGCTAGGGTTTAGGGTTTGCGAGCTAGGGTTTAGGGTTTCGCACCTTCGGGGGTTTAAACGGATAATCTGAGGGGAAATGTATATTCAAGAAGAAGACACCGCCGCTGTAAGGACTGCAGCAAAACGCAAAACCCTCACCCACCTCCCTAAACCCCAAACCCTAAACCCTAAACCCTAAACCCTAAACCCTAAACCCTGAAGGGTGGGCGAACCGGCGAGCAAAACCTCCGGACAAAGAACTCCCTGGAAAGCAGACTGGGGCCTCCAGAACCAGGGCTTGGGGTCTAGGGCCTAGCACCCACTAGGCCTTAGGGTTTAGGGTTTAGGGTTTAGGGTTTAGGGTTTACCTGTCCTCAGGCCCCATAATGGTCGCCTGCCAGTGGAAGAGGTCATCGCCCACGGGGCCCGCCGAGCAGTTTGTGGGCGGGTCCTTACTCAGGTCATTGAGCTCCTAAACACAAACCCTAAACCCTAAACCCTAAACCCTAAACCCTAAACCCTAAACCCTAAACCCTAAACCCTAGCTGCCCAGCCAGCGCCTAGCAGGACGTACCCCGGAACCGCGAAGCCAAACCCCAAACCCCAACCCCAAACCCCAAACCCCAAACCCCAAACCCTAAACCCTAAACCCTAAACCCTAAACCCTAAACCCTAGAGACCTTGTTAATCCGTTTAAGCGCCATTTTGCCTGGAAAGAAAGAAATGATTAAAAGAAGCGGCAGGCCTTAAGAGAGGCCGGAGGCCGCAGCAGCGAATTGAGGTGTCTGTACACCTGACGGGTGGCCAGCCAAAGGGAGGAAAGAACACACCCGAACCAAACCCTCGAAGCGCCCTGCAGCAGAAACCCAAACCCTAAACCCTAAACCCTAAACCCTAAACCCTAGCGGCCGCGGGCGGCCGCGGGCGGGGTCCAGAAACCCCAAAAGAGCGGCTTCAGCCCGGGAAAAGCAGCAGCAGCAAAGGAAGAAGAAGAAAGGAGGCAGCAGCAGCGCCGCAGCAGCACATGCGATCCGCAGCAGCAGCAGCAGCAGCAGCAGCTGCTGCTGCTGCTGCTGCTGCTGCTGCTGCTGCGCGAAAATAAGGCAGAGGGGAAGAGGGCACAGAAAAGGAAAAGTGAAGAGCCAGAAGGAGAAGAGGAGAGAGAAAGGAAAAGGCGCAGGGTCTGAGGTGTATGTACACCTCAGAGGAGCGAGGCGGACGCAACAAACGAATACACCCGGGGGCCCCCCGAACTGCCCGACGAAATTAAAGAAAAAGAAATTAATAATAAATGATTTATCTGCAATTTAAAGTCTTAAATACAAAACCCCAAACAAGTACCGTTGGGGGGCAGCAGCGCCGGCTCTCGCGCCCGCTAAACCCTAAACCCTAAACCCTAAACCCTCGGCCTAAACCCTAGACCCACAGAAACGAGGCGTCCAGTCCCAAGAAAAGATCTCTTTTTCATGCAGTTAAAGCAGAAACCCTAAACCCTAAACCCTAAACCCTAAACCCTAAACCCTCGCAGCAACCCTTGCTGCACGCCGCTTCTGTCGCTGCAGCAGCAGCAGCAGCGCCCTGCTGCTGCGCAGCACAGGGGCCGCAGCAGCAGCAACGCGCAGGCTGTCCGTTTCGAAGCAATTTTCGAATTAAAAAGATTTATTTTTACAAAATATAATATTTATCAACTTATAAGACTGTTTGCTCTCCAGTAAACCCTAAAAAAGGGTTTCAGAGGCCCCCCTCCGCCCGCCTCCCTACGCCCGGCCCTAACCCCACGCCCTCCTAAACCCTCAGGGTTTAGGGTTTTGTTTCTCTCCACACTAGGGGGCCCCCCGAGCAGCAGGAGGCCCCAGGGGCCCCCCGGGGGCCCCCCGCTAGTGTCCTAGCTCGAAGACACCCCGCAGCTTTTGCTGCTGCTGCAGCAGGGGGCCCCCCCCTGTGTGGGTCTAGCTGCTGCGCGAGACACTGCAGGGGCCCCCGGGGGGCCCCCGCAGGGCCCCAGGGGGCCCTGGGGGCCCCTAGGGGGGCCCCGGGGGCCCCTGGGGGCCCCTGCTGCTGCAGCGCATGCAGAGGAGCAGCTAGTTAGGTCTTTTCTTAGCTTTTGAGTTGCTGTTTGTCAAAAAATATTCCCTCAGTATAGATCTGCTGCAGTTAGTTATTTGTAAAACACTTTTTGCCGCAGAAGCAGCAGAGGGGGCCCCCTGGGGGCCCCCTGGGGGCCCCCTGGGGGGCCCCCTGGCTTGAAACTTCTTGCTGCTGCATGCAGCCCCGTGAAACGGCAAATGGCCTGGCTAGCTAGCTAGCTAGCTGGGCAGCTAGCCTAGCTAGCTAGACAAGCACCCCGCCAGCTAGCCAGCTAGCCAGCTAATTAGCTAGCTGGTTAGCTAGCTGGCTAGCCAGCTAGCTGGCCTGGTTAGCAACAGGGGCAGACACTACGTACGCAGCGAGCCCAGCTAGCTAGCCCGCTAGCTAGCCACAGCTAGCTGGGCAGCTGGCTAGCTAGCTAGCTGGGAGGCGCTGGGATCGCGATCCCGATCCCCCTGGGATCGATCCCGCGGGGATCGGGATCGTTTCGAATTTAAGAGCAGCAGAAAGTTCTGCAGCAGCAGCAAGTTAGCCAGCTGCTGCGTATTTGCATTACTCATTACTTATTCAGCCATATTTAGAACCATTCTAAAGCATTTAAATGCATTTAAATGCATTTAAATGCATTTAAATGCATTTAAATGCATTTAAATGCATTTAAATGCATCAAAATGTACTTAAATGAATTTAAATGTATTTAAAAATATTTAAATCTGTTCAAAAGTGTTTAAATTAATTAAAATGGACTTAAATGTACTTTGGTGTGGAATTATGTAAATTGTATTTATGTAATTTAATTACAAAATATATAAATGGATTTGTCTGCAAATAAAGTTATATAATTTAATTACAATATATATATTATATAATTCTATTTGTCTACAAATGCAAGTATTTAATTTAAATGCGATATATATATATATATGTTTATCTACAAATTATATATATATATATATATATATATAACATTATATATATATATATATAAAGTTATATATATATATATATATATGTACATGCATGCATATATTGTGTTATACATAAGCTCAACTAAAACAAACGCATATATACATATATACACACATATAAACATATATATATATACATATATATATATATACATTTAAAATATATATATATATATACATATATGTATGCACGGACACACATATATATATATATATATATATATATATATATATATATATATATATATATATATTATATATTACATATGTATATACATAATATATATATATTATATACATACATATTATATATGTATATAAATAGTATATATGCATATACATATTTATATGTTTCTATGTAGAATTTACTTCTTATATTTACCAATATAGACATGGAAATAAATATACATAAATATGTATACATATATACATTTATTCATATATTTATATATAAATATATGAATATATATATACAAATATATATATATAATCTATACATATATATATATAGATATATTATATATAAAAGCCTCTGAATACATATACGCGCATTCGGGTGTATACACATTCCAAATAAATTAAATAAATTGAATAAATAAATTAAATAAAATAAATAAATAAATAAATAAAATAAATAAAATAAAATAAAAATGAAGATACAAATCCGCATGCAAACTCCACTTAGTGCAAAAAGAAGAAAAGCCGCCACAGGCGGATTTCAAAAGTCCATTTGGCGGAAAAATTCTTTTTTTGAATTTTTCCAACAAAAAAAATAAATTAATTCATTTTTATTTCTCATTATGATAAGATAGTTCATTTTTATTTCTTTTTTCTCCAAACTTTTCGAAAAATGAATTAAAAGCTGCTTTCCACTTTTTGCATTCGCGAAACCCGCCTTCCAGGTGTACAGACACCACAACTTACCTGCGGAAAGCGCATGCAAACCCATTACCTACAACTTACAGCTAGCTACAGCTAGCTGTAGCTAGCTGTGGCTAGCTGTAGCTAGCTGTGGCTAGCTAGCTGCAGCTAGCTGTAGCCAGCTGTAGTTAGCTGCAGCTAGCTAGCTGCAGCTTGCTAGCTGCAGCTAGCTAGCTGCAGCTAGCTGTGGCTAGCTGCAGCAAGCCGTGTCTGCAGCTAGCTGTAGCTAGCTGTAGTTGGCAGCAGCTAGCGGTGGCTAGCTGCAGCCAGCCGCGAGAGCTACGTGGGGTGCCCGGGAGGTCCCAAACCCTAAACCCTAAACCCTAAACCCTAAACCCTAAACCCTAAACCCTAAAAATGGAGGATTAAATTAAATAAAATTAAGTTAAATACTAAATGTCCTAAAGGGTGCTGCTGCAGGCGCCGAGCCCAGTCGCCCAGGCGCGTTTGGCGCCGCTACCGCTGCTGCAGCAGCTGCTGCAGCTGTCGCTGCTGCTGCTGCTGCGGCTGTTGCTGCTGCTGCTGCTGCTGCAGCAGCAGCAGCAGCAGGAATGCGCGCAGCCATTAATTACCCGTTCCCTGTTTGTGTCTCCTTTCTGCTGCTGCTACCTGAAGTGGCAAACGAATGCATAAACACAGAGCCCGATCCCCTCGACCCCCTCTGCTGCTGCTGCTGCTGCTGCTGCTGCTGCTGTTGCTGCTGCTGCTGCTGTTGCTGTTGCTGCTGCATTTCCTGGCGCCCCCCGCTGCCCCGCAGCTGCTGCAGGGGCTGTTCGTCGCTGGCCCTGAGCTGGGCGCTGCCCAGCTTCCCACTCTCCCCGCTGCTGCTGCTGCTGCTGCTGCTGCTGCTGCTGCTGCTGCTGCTGCTGCAGCGCAGCAGCAGCAGCAACTACTCGGAAAGCCCGTGGGCACTGTAGAGCTGCTGCGCATCAGCAGCAAGCGGGTAATAGGGCCCCAAGGGAAAGGACAGCAGCTGCGCATAAGCAGCAGAGAGGGGCCCCTTGAGTTCGGGGCCCCCGGGGCCCCCGGGGCCCCCGGGGCCCCCGGGGCCCCCGGGGGCCCCCGGGGACTGTGGGGCCGCTATAAAGGGGAATGGAGACAAAGAGTACCCATAAATGTCGCTGTAAGTACCCTCGGAGAAGACCAGTGGTCCATCTCTGCTGCTGGGGGGCGGGAGGACGCAGCGGCCCATGGGAAGGGGCCTCTGGGGGCCCCCGAAGGGGCCCCGGGGGCCCCCCTCGGGGGGGCCCCCCGGGAAGGGGGGCCCCCGGGGGCCCCCGCCCTCGCCGCGGCGGTAGCGCGGCCGCTGCTGCTCGTGCGCGTGCGCTGCTGCTGCTGCTGCTGCTGCTTCCCAGGGGTGCAGCATTGCTGCAGGGGGCCCCCTGCCTGCGGGTCCCGGCCCCGCTGCTGCTGCTGCTGCTGCTGCTGCGTTCTCCGCTGCAGCAGCAGCAGCAGCAGCAGCGGCGGCGGCCTGCTGGGGGCGTCTGTGGCTGGGCGCGGCGCCGAGCTTGCCGCCCTGGTGCTGCTGCTGCTGCTGCAGCAGGTGGAGCGCGTTGCTGCTGCTGCTGCTGCTGCTTCTCCCGCTCTGTTGCTGCGTCTGCTGCTGCTGGCCCTGCTGCTGGTTCTGCTGCTGGTTCTGCTGCTGGTTCTGCTGCTGGTTCTGCGCGTTCTGCGCCGCCGCCGCCGCCGCCGCCCCCTGCTGCTGCTGCTGCTGCTTGGCGTAGCTGCTGCTGCTGCTGCTGCTGCTGCTGCTGCGGGCGGAAGAAGCAAAATGCACGAAGACCATCCGGCCATCTATTATCCTTTCACTCATTTGCACTGCTTTGAAGGCCTCCGAAGGAGTGGCGAAGTTCAGAAAGCCGAAGCCGCGGCTGCGGCCTTCGGCGTCGCGGACCACCACGCACTCCTGGAGGGCCCCGAAGACTCCAAAGACTCTTCTCAGAGTTTCCGAAGTTGTTTGGTCGTGTAAATTGCGAACAAAGAGCTTTGTTTGGTCCTTCGCGGCGAACAAATCGGCCGCCAGCTTCACCTGCATGCATGCATGCATGCATGCATGCGCGCATGCATGCGCATGCACGCGGCGTGCGCGCAGCCCGTTTGCGGGTTTCGCACGCTGTTTCGGGCTATTTAAAGGGTTTAATTGGTTTAATTTGTTATTTTATTAATTTAAAGCGTTTAATCGGCCGCTTTGGGCGGCGCGCGCACCTGGAGCTGGCGGCCGTCGAGGGTGAGCGGGCAGGCGACGAAGCAGCGCGAGACCCCCTCCGGGAAGGCGAAAGTGACGAATCCGTAGCCCCTGCTTTGCCCGTCTCGCTCCCGAACTATTAAGGCGTCTGCGACGCAGCCAAAGGTGCGAAAAAACGCCAAAAAACGCTCGTCAGAAGTGCAAAAATGGACATTTCGGACCATCAGGCGGCGGGAGGCGGGCGAGGCGTGCACGCGGTCCGCGCAGTGTCTGTACACCGCGCCGTCCCGCAGCGCCGCCCACGACAGCAGGTCCAGCAGCTGCTCGCGAGACAGCGGAGACAAAAAGTGCCGCAAGGACGCCTCGCTGCTGCTGCTGCTGCTGCTGCTGCTGCTGCTGCTGCTGCTGCTGCTGCTGCTGCTGCTGGTGGGGGAGGTGGGGGTGGGGGG